AGTTGCCACTCTAAAGACGTGAAAACAGGACAATGGGTGGTATGAATTCTGAGATCATAAAAAGTTTGTGATCAAAATCTTTCGCTGACCTAAATTTTGCCCTTTAAATACTGTCATGAGGGCTGTGTTTTAATTTGTCTGAATCTTAACATTAAACTGATTAAGATATTACATGGTCAAGGACAAATATTTTCTTACTCAGTCTGAAATGCCAGTTATATTAAATATCTATAAAACTGTGATATATTGGTTCAGATCTAAAACTCTGATTCTGGCTAATGCCAATGAACTTACTTACCCAACGAATCAAGTCTATAGTTCAAGGAAACAAATACAATATCTTCTTGTAGAAGATAATCTGGTCCATGGTGATCGCGTGCTGCATGTCCAGACTGAAATCCGCCGCCATATATCCAAACCATTACAGGCATTTGCTTGGAAACTGCATCTATCTGAAATTTCAAATGCACAATTCCAACAACAAGCATTGAATTTGGATGCTACTAATACATATTGTTCGCTAAACCCGAAAAGGTGTCAAGGCATCAAAAACTAAATTTGTAAAAAAAATGGACTTGGCACCTTTCACATTTAGGTATTGATATCTACATGTGTACGTCTACTTACATTTTTCGTAAAAACGTTCAGATAAAGACAATCCTCGCTACCATCGGCTTTGCCAGCCCGATTATTCTTTTGCACCGGCTTGGGTGGACTGTTTGTGCAATCTAGCGTGTCTTTCCAATTCCCAAAGGGTTTGGGTGCCCGAAAACGTAATTTTCCAACCGGCGGCAGGGCATAAGGAATGCCCTCAAAGCTATAGTAGGTACTGTCGTTGATAGTCTCGCGTGTTGCACCGCGTATGCGACCTTGAGGTAGTTGCAGTTCCACTGTCTCCAATATGCCAGAGCTGTCTCATACATATATGTACAATGTTTTATGAAAGTATTTGGATCACTTTCTATCCCAGTCGACAAAATTTGAAAAATCAAGAGGGTTTCTGGGAACCCTTGTTTCAAACCATTCGAAGCGATGGGAACGGCTAGAGTTTAAAGGCTTTCTAAATCAGTTTCCTTTTTTCACACAAAGTTTACGTGAAATGATAATGAAAAAGTTAAATTTACAACAGACAGGCATCGACAAGTCTACAACAATAGTGATATTCACCAAAATATGCAAGTGGCCTGCCAGTCTGGAAAAAGAGCAGATCAGCTCGAGCAACAACTCTTGTCAATCGCTTGAGCTCATCTGCTCTTTTGCCAGAGTACCAGGTCACTTGGTCAATTTGGTGAATACCACTATTTAATATTTGCTTTTATTTATTTCGAATGCCAGCGCTATTGAAAGATCTTTTAACCGAGCTTACAAAGAGAAGGTCCTACTAAAAAAGCATTTCCTGTAAGGATTCGCCTACACAGAAGCACTTATCATTTAGCCGACTGGGATATTTTTAAAATTTTCATACAACTTACTTTGTTGCCATTACGTTTTTTTTTTAGATATGTGTGTATGTATGTAGATATATCCGCTACCAAGTTTGTTGACGTGGAAGAAAATTTGTTGTATATATGTTTTTAATGACTTGACAAACGATGTTTGATTAGGGTTGTGTGCACTTAGCGTATCAAGCTGTAAATCATATGAAAATATTTCTTTAAAGTATAATGAGTTTTAAAGTTTATTTCATCATAAACTTAAAGCTCTAATTATATAAATTTATTGGTTATTGTTAAAGCGGCGTTATAAGATTTGCAAAAACCAAATTTGTATGAGTGTATGTAAATATGAATTTATTAATTTACATCCGAACTATCTCAACTAGAGTACGCTGAATAATTAAATAATAAAAGAAATTACTTTTCCTATTAAATAAAATCATAATAATCAGCCTAATCATGAGTTTCATTTTCACCGAACCGATTCACTTTTCACTTTTGGTTTCCATGGTTTTACTATGGGCGGATGACAAATTTTCGGGTGAATTTTTTTTCAGGCGAAACTCAGGATAAGGCAGAATAGAAATTCACGGGCTCTTAGAGTAAATTACTAAGTATAAAGTCTTAAATAAACTACACCAGTAGATATGTAGGTTTACATATTTACCAAGTTAATTATACCACTATATTTTTGATATCTTTGATTGATATGATTTAGTTCAATTTGATTGAGTTCAAGTAAAATTAAAAAAAAGTGCTCAACCTATATGCGTATGTACACGAAGTGGCAAAATTTCGAATACAACTAACATAACTTATGTATTCACATCACAAGTTCTAACCATCTGATGTTGAGTGTTTTTTAAATTTTGATAATTATCAGTTATAAGCGAAGAAAAATGTGCATACTATTTCGCAAAGATCTAGTTTCGATCTACACCATGCGTAACTGCTTTGGACATAGTGCCAAAAGTATGAAGATAAACCAGTTTGAAATACCTAGTTGTGATACATACTAAATATTATTCATATTCATATTATGCGAGCGGGAAAAGCAAGGACATAATCTAAACAAATCAATTAAACATAAAAATATTACGAATATTACTACGAAAACGTCTTTAAAGTTCAAAGCGGTCCAGGAACAGTAATTGTCTTTTTTTAAGAATCCTTTTCAATGCAAAACACGTTCGAAGGTACGCAATTGCCTAACAAAGGGTGATCACTATTAGAAAAAATGCTTGTCTACTACGTATTACGAGGAATGCCCTGTGATAAATTAAACTTACCGCCCTTTCCAATAACCCCAATTTTTTCAAGAGTATGGAATTGATTTCATAAGTTTTCATACCAAAATCTAATACTCTACCATGAAAACTTCCAGACCTTTGCAGCATTAAAAAATCGGTTTATCTGAGAGGTGGAAAGTTGTTTTTAGCCGATAACCATTCTAGAAAAGTCTGCCGTAAATGTTCAAAATTTAAAAACAAAAATATGTGCAGAACTTTTTAAGTTTTTGTTAAGTTTCGACTCGAGTTTCAGTATCTATTAGTTCGCTGAGCCGACTTCATCAATACGAAATTTGAGTCTAACAGGCGTTTTGTAACAAAGTCACAGTGATTTCTACTGCGCAACAAAATTTTCCGCTGCAGCAAATATGCCACTACAACATAAGTTTCTAAGTTTTTGTGTATTTTTCTAGCATTTCAAATCAAATTTTTATGATGAGCTAAGTTTTATGGTTCTGTTAGAATAGACGGATTAGGTTAATTTCACTATTTATAATTGAAACCACAGTTAGTATACCGTCCTTAAGTGCGTACATAGTATAATTCAGTCCTTAATTGAAGCAGTTAGAGATGTGTCGGGACTAATTTATCTCTAATTATACCCTTAAGGGATGATTCAAAACTAGTCGGTCTGCAAAAATACCCGTATGAGATTAGCTGAGATAAATTATTGCCCAGGAGAATAATACCAAAATACGCGCTTAAGAGATTATTTGCACAATTTTTTTTGCAGAGCATGTACAGCTGCGAACACTAAAATAGTAGTGTGCACTTGCGGTTAAAATTTTTTCAAATTACTAGAAAACCGAAATAATAGTTGTATTCATTTTAATGGAAAAACTGATGGACAATTTCATAACTAAATGTAGGATCGAAAGATTTTTATTTACATAAATAAACACTAAAAAAATTAATTCACGTAAGATGTGTTTTTATGGAAATTACTGCAGAAAAATAGCAGTATATAACAAAAAGTTTTAAATTTAAGTTAAATTGTTAATATCAGTACTTAAATTTAGCACAGTTATTTAGTATTTGGTAGCATGACCGCTGTTTTTAATCACTGCTGCATAATGATCTCGCATAGAGTCTAAAAGGGGTTGACATCTTTTCTGTGGTATTGATTGCCATGCGCGGAGAACCACAACCCATATTCGTGATTATTTTTTGGTTGTAGATCCCATATGGATTTCTTAAGGTTGGTCCAAAGGTTTTCTATTGGATTGACTTCAGGAGATTGAGCTGGCCTCTCAATGACCTAAATTCCGTTATCGCGAATCCACAATTTTGCCAGCTGCTGCGTATCACATGATTTTTTTTTTTGTTTTGAAAAGCGGGACTTTACGTGGACTTCCAGCATAAAGATTGTGTTCTCGGAGCCGTCTCCTTATTGTACGAACACTACATGGTAACTTTAGGCTATCCAAAATTTCTACAGATGCCATTGTGGAACGAGTCTTTGAATTTCATAATTTTTCGTATGGTAGTCGTTGATAATTTCTACTTACCTCCCTTTTTTCGGGTTTATTGTGATATCTTAACGCATTTCAAATCATGGTGGCTGAACATCCAGAAATTTTTCCCACTTCCTTTTATGTATTCCCATTTTTAATAAGGGGTTTTAATAATACCACGTTTTTCGTGAGTACAGTGCACACTTCGCCCCACTAAATACTAAAAAAAAATATATTTTTGTCTATTCCTGCTAAATGTATGTATAATAAACCAAATCATTTAGCTTAAATTTTTATTCCAAAACCTCAAATATTTTCAATTGAAGCTAAATTTGCGACTTTAGTTGTTCTGCGGTACTACTTCACTGCTCGCCTAAAATGCCGTTCACAATAGGGGATATGTACTTCTTAAAAAGTTAAACCGTAGCTGATGAACGCTTTGAAATTTGCATAGAGTTAAATCATACACTAGAGTGGATAATTAAAAAAAAAATCCATACCAATATCGCGTAGTATGCGAAATTAGGGGCGCAATGCTTCTTGTAAGCGCGTAGTACTATTTCAATGATCGTAACTGTATGTAGTATATGTATATCTACGTTCATAAAAATTATGCTTATCTTCTGGCTAAAAAAATGATAAAACTGTATGCGTTAAATTTTGGGAAAAGGTGATATTTAGAGCATGTATGTGAACAAAAAGTTGTGAGTGAACTCAACACCAAGCAAACAAGGCATTTTTTAGAGCCTGGTAATACGAATTTATTGCCAAATTATGCATACCCTAATAACACGGATTATTTTTCAAGAAATATTTTTTTTTCAAAAAGGTATAACGAATAAGTAGAGCCGAGTAGGATCTTCATTCCTTTACCAAAAGGTAAGGGGCCGAACTTTAAGTATCTACCAAAAGAAAAGCCGCGCATACTCTCGCCAATAAAAGTGGCGGCTATTTTTTACTTCAGTAGACCAACTTTAGCAGCTGTTCCAAATAGCACAAAGTGTATTACA